AGTGAGCATGGGGGCACGGAGACGGGGGTTAGCAATGAGGGCTGGGGGCTCCACACATGGGGTATGGGCTGGGGAGTGGTTTGGGGGCTCAGTGGGAGGCCAGGGGCTCAGGTGGGAGTGGGGCTTTCTATATAAGGTTGGGAATCTGGGGGAGCTCCCTGAGAGGTCCCCCCCCACCCCGGGCCCCAGCCCAGCGCTCACCTGGTGGCCAGCAGTTTGGAGAAGAACCAGTTGGTCCTGATGAAGCCGAGAAAGGTTCGCTGGCAGAAGAGGTAAGCGCAGCTCAGGACACCGCAGATGGCTCTGGGGGGTGGGGGAGGTGAGTCCAGAGCCCTCCCCAGTGCGGGGGCAGCAGTCCAAGCCTCGGGGGAGCCCCGACTCACCCCAGTGCCACAAAAAAGAAGATCTCTGGCAGGTCGTAGGGGATGTCCACTGGGAAACTGGTCTTGAAGAGGCAGGTGATGGTCTCTGGGGAAGGAGGGACGTGGGGAGCCGCGATGGCACTCCTGCCCCACCCACGCCAAGTCCCAGATCAACCGGCAGCGGTGGAGGTGGTGCCGGGTCCGGACCCCAGGTATCCGTTTCCTGGCATTCAAGGCCCCCACGCCCCCGGCCCAGCGGTTCCCCAGCCCGCAGGTCCCCTCACCCTGCCCTCCATGCCCAATACAGGTCCACTCCCTCCCCTGCTCCTAGAAGGAGGTGGGAGAGGGAAGGAGGAGGGGGAAGAAGGGAGGGCGAAGGGTCAGGGAAAGGAAGGGGAGGCAAGCAGAGAAGAGGGGAAGTGCCAGGGGTCAGGGAGCCCCGTGGGGCTGGGGCTCACCTTCCTCACTGTTGAAGACCGACAGCAGGCGGAATGTGAAGGCCCCACAGGTGGCAGCGAAGAAGCCCCTCCAGTAATCCCAGACGGAGAAGTGGGAAGACATGACCTCGATGCTGAACAGGACGCCTGGGGGCGACACTGAGCTCAGGCGGATCCCCTCCCCCCCATCCCTGTATCCCCTCCTCCCTGACCCTCATGCCCTGCTGCCCGACAGCCAGGACACACAGGAGGAGGGGAGGGCCTCGGCCGGGAGGACCCCACTGACCAGGGAGCACGTCCAGCCAGCCCCGCCGTCCAATGCCTGTATGCGCCGTTCTCCTCGCCATGGGGCAGGGGGTTATGATCCCCGTTTTACAGAGGAAGAAACTGGGCTCAGAGAGGCCAGCTGGCCGGAGTGGCACAAATCTGCCCAATGTAACCCTGAAGCCTCTCGACACCCCCCTACAGCTGGAGAGGCTGTGCCCACGGTAGGACTGAAGTGGAAACTAGAATTAGCCCCAGTCCCCCCTCCAGGCCTCTCGGCTGGGCAGAGAGAGGGCAGGAGTGTGAGGGGCC